CATAGGGCAACATGTGTACTAACGGTTTAATGAGAAACTATTTTGTTCTGTAAACCTTCATCTAAAGTGAGAATAGCAGCACAATTGGAAGAGCGTAGTCAATGTCACTCAACTGTGCATGTAGAAATTTTTGAAATGCTGTATCTTTGGCTATGTATATTTTCACTGAAAAAAAAAAAGGTCGACAAGGGAGAGGGTTTACATGTCATGGGGTTGTTAACCAATGTCATAAAACAATATGTGTACTACTGTTTCATGAGAAACTATTTGTTTTGTAAACCTTCAGCTGAAGTACAATTTAAAAAAAAAAAGTTGTATTGAAAAAAGAAAAAGAAAATAATGGAAAATTTCACATCAGATGTAATTTAAAATATAGTCAGCTCAAGATCTGCGACATAGCTATGAATAATCTTTTTGTCGTAAGGAAAAGAATGACAACTTAAAGAAACTCAAGCAAGACAATGAATTTATTAGCTCATTTATTAGCTCAGTTAGTACCCAAACTGTGTGGAGGGCAAGATTAAAGATGAATGTCCAAGACAGCTGGTACCAACAACTTGAATACTACAAGATTCTGCCTTTAAATTCTATATATTTTCCCCTCATATTTTTTTTATTATGCTATATTAGATTTTTGACAGCAGGAAATATGAACGCCAACAGCATCTATACCTCACAGATGCGAAAAGGACTGAGATTTGCTTTCTCTCTGTTTTCAAGTCCAAACATCCTGGGGAAAAGCTCAAATTGGTCCATCTTGATCAAGGGCTCATGTCTGTACCATTCAACTGTTGTTAAGGGATATGTCATTATGACTTAGTTCAGATGCCCAAACTTTGACCAACCAATAGTGATCAGGAAGGTCGGATCTACAAGATGTCTTCTTCCAGACATACCACGTGGTTAGTGCAAGAGAAAGGTACGTTTACCGTAAGGAAGAGATTGCTCAGTTGGACAGACAACAGAGTAGACGTCCACTAAAAGTGGTTATTTCTTTAGATTAAAAAGAACGGCCTTTGACAAAATTTTGCGTTAAAGGAAAAAGAAAATCCTCAGTCATTATGTGTTTGAAGAATCCATCTCGTCATAGATGTAGACCTGAGAGAAAAGCAGGAAAAAGGACTGGGTTGAGTAGGCATTTCTGTAAATGGACACACACAAACAGTAAGAAATATGGGAATCCATGCTAGGATCTATTGAACATTACTTAATTAATGGAAGAAAAATCTAGTGAAATTTCCAATTTGCAAATATTACTTTTTCAAAACAAATTATAGAGAGACTTACTATAAGGTCTAGCTAGTAAATAAAATCATATATATAATTTTATAATATTTAT